AACCACTCACCCCCCGCACATGACGTTGGTTGTGCATGCAATGATGCATTTACATGACGATGTGATGTGTAAACTCCCAGCGATATGAAATATTTCTGGATCGCATTTTTGAGGATCCCCATACAATATGTTACATTCTATGACTTATTGATCGACAAAAGGATAACGGCAGTGGCGTTGCGACCGAAATAGGGGGCTCCTCGTGCATTTTTACTGCAGTCTATGCTATTTAATCTACCGGTAATTTTGAAATTATAAATGTAGTCACGTAATGTTCTAAAAGACAATCCAATAATCCCTCGTTTTTCACGGTTAATGGGGACCAGAAATGAAAGATGAAAACTGCGAGGTAGGATTTGCGACGTCACGCCGGGAGCCAATCACATCCTTGAATGAGTGCCCATGGCATGTATGTACAGGACATTAAAGGCATGTAGAAAGCCTCTGAGTCGTTCGGCATGCAGGGAAACCTCTGTTGCACATCAAGATGAAACAACGCATCTCGCCACAATATGGCCGCTGATATGGCTGTATTTTTTTCATTTTTATTGTTTTATTATTTATTTATATATTTATTTATTTATTTATGCATATGGTATTTTGGAAACACCGAAGCCGCAAAACATGAAAGTGCAAAGTGGCGAGGGATTACTGTGTACTGTCTGTCTCTATTTACCTGACAGCGAACATGAAAGTTGATGAGGAGTGACTACGCAACGTGTTTAGCCAGACTAGTAGCCAGCTGAATCACGTTGTGAGCTAGCTGGTGCTGCCTAATTAACAGACTGAGTTTGGCTCAACAGCCAACTACCCGCGGTAGGTGACGTGAATGATCCCTGCGAGTCTGGCCTAGGGAAGTTTTGGGGTATTTCTCGAGGGTTGAATCTTAGCTTTGCTCTTCGGTGTGTTTTGGTGAGGTGCAAAAATGCAAATTTTGACTCGTTAACACCATTTTTTTGTTCTCCATTTTTTATGCTATGATTTTTACTGGTGCAGCCTACATAAAAGTAAATTCGGTTGTAGGTTGTCCTTGAACTACAACTTAGTCAATTTGAAATATATTGCAGATTGCAATTATCATTCGTAGCGTATCTAATATTATCGATACAAAGTCTCTGCAGCAACATCAGCGATAACATCAGAAGCTAAAAGAAAGGATTTGTTGTGTTATTGAGATGTTCCCATGGTGATAATAGTTATTTAACAGGTAGCGTGTACACATTTTAGACCAGTGACTTGTCTTCGGTGTAGCATGCTGTCATTTTTTCACCTCACGAATGCAGAGAATTTATTTGGGTCGTGCTGAAACGTGCACTCTGCCATTCACTTGTGTGTTGTGGCTTGCTAGACTGAAAATGAATACAGTTTGCAACAAACAACAGTTGTGCTCCATTTGGGGTTAATTGAACGTGTAATGCTGCACCATTGAGAGCAATACGTACCAACTGCAGCTTGACGTGCTATGGCGGTTGCTCTGGTGGGGAACAGAAATCTTTCCGAACATTAAGACCATCTAGTGCAAAAGAGGGGTGTGCAGCATCCTAAAGGAGAGCTCGCAACACAGCATCAGTGTTGTTGGCCTCCTCCACTATGGAATGTTCTTTACGTTTCTCTTTTCCCAGACCAGCAAATTCAGGAATAACTTCTTCCCTACAACTTTTACTATGTTGAAATATACACCACGATTGACCCCCCCCCCCCCCCCCCAACACCACCCCCACCTTCCTCCGGTCTGTGCTTTCCCACTCCACCATGACCTAGAAGGTCCCAAACCCTCTTCCAGCTGCTAAACTCTTACTGCTGAGAAAAGCACAAAGAGTACAGAACTTGAATTGGCTGAATAGAAAGAATTGTATTTTTTAAAGAAGTGGAGCCTTGCAGCATTAATTTAGATTTTCAAAGATTTGTGAAATAAAATGGCAGACTAAGTCAAGGTCAAAGGTTCACATTCCCAAGATGGCTGAGGTCGCTTAAGTCAAAGGTCAACATTGTGCTGTGCATTTTCGGTCCATCTTTTTCAGGATTATTTTTGTATGTCAAAGCAAGAGAACCTCCGCCTGGCCTGGAGCATGTCCGCATTTACCAGAACCATCTATTTTTATTGAAAGGTTTCTAGGAACAACAAAGAGTTCAAGGTATTATCACATTCAAGGGTCTCTTCCTGTTGGGTTTTGCATCACGTATTCTGTAAGCAAGATATTGTATCTGATTAATTCTCCAGAATATGGACTACACCTGGCTCATGCTCCCGTATTCCCAAGTATTTTTATTGCACATTCCTTCTGCTCACACATTTGTGTTGTGCCATATAATGTCTTTGGCTGTCTGCTGACACAACTCTTGGGACCGACATACTGGCAATACGGTCGCAGAGAGAGTTTAGTCTTGGATGCGGAGGAGGTTACAAATGAAAGTCTGACTTGACTGGATGGAAAAATGGGCTGAGGAGTGAGTGGGATTTCCCCTCGTCAAAATCATTCCAAATTAACCTAATTGTTGTGAGCGGCTGCTGCTGGGGCTTCTGGTTTAAACTTCGGGATCGTGAGGTCAACTATAAAAGACGCACGGTGAGAGAGCCGATTGCCCATTGTACTGTCGCTGAGCGATTGTGCGTGATCTCGCAGCATGCGGCGTGGTTTGGGGATCACGAATTTGTGCACATTGTAGTTTAACTTTGTATTTATTGTGGGTGTGTGTATTTGTGTCTCCTGCTGAAAAAAAAAGTAATAAAAGCTCGCTGTTCACCATTTAAACAACCCTGCTTGGGAGTTTCCGTGCGCTGTCAAATAAATCCTCACCATAAAAATAAACCTGTTCAATAAATAACATCGCTCTGAACACCACAACACGCGAAGACCTTAGCAGGTAAACTGCCAACATGTATCAATAGCATCTGTCCTGGACAAATGACTCATCCATGTGTAATGTTTCAAAATGATTTAGACACGAAAAGCCCTTTTTCATTGGAACACTGCTGTTGTGATGTTAAGCTCCAACATTGAATAAGACATATCTGAGTCAGTTTACCGAGTCTGGAAAAGATGTGTGTCATATACATCATTTAATGTCTGTCATTCACAACCTCCACCCTCCCCAAGTCTCCATGCATTTTGTCTCCTTGGTTAATCAGCTCCTGTTCCACTCCCACTTTCCATTTCTCCTTGAAAAGTTCACCTATCCTACATCACCCCAGAAGAGCCCGGTGGAATTTCTGCAAACAGCTGTGGTTTAAATATGAAATGGTGTGCGTCATTATAGATTGGATACAGGAATTGGCAAATGAATCATGTGCTAAGTATGTAGTCCGCTGGATATCATATTCCACTTGGAACACTGGCAATAACCTCACCTGTATGCAGCTGCATTTTTTTTTTGGCAGGCTGAAGGATAGAATTCCCCCACTCTTATTTGCCCAAGTCACACACATACACCAAAAAATATGTAATGACATTGATGCAGTATCAGTTTCATGCATCAGTCATTTCCCTTTTAAAAAAATGATATATTTGTTTACCCAATAGCTTAGCTGCAGAAGTCAGATTCCAATGTTTTTTCGGAAAATAAGAAGAAAACAAAACCACTAAGAATCCACTTGTCTACCTTTGTAGATTGCCATTACCTGAATGACTGAGACTCTATAAAAGAAAAAAATTGTAGAAAGCATCTTGTTTTTATATCATGTCAGTTAAAAAGGACTCATGCAATTTTGCTGTAAGGCTAACGATATATTTTAAACATACACTATGTTAGCCACATCTGTGTAAAATAACGGGGACTCCAGTTGTATGTGCACGCTCTACTTTTCTGCTTCCCAGGACTCGGAGCCAAGCACAGTGCAGGGACCATTACTGCCGTCAAAAGGCAAAGGGCCACTTCACAGGGCATTATTAGTCATTCTGGTTTGAGGTTTCCAAATGGGCTGCTGCTGTTGCTGTGACTGACCAACTCAGCCCCGCCATGTTAACAACTACGAGATGGGGTTGGAGTCTGTTGATTTATGGGGACTTAAAGGCCAACTTCTGGACAGCCTTTGACCACAGTTAATGACCCATCTGCGATTAAATGGAAAGGACCGAGAGTGCTGTCTTACTGTGGTGGCTCCTGCTATGTTTGCTTCTTTCAGGATGAGTGGGTGTTTGGCTTTGCCATGTGGATCTCACCATGTTTTTTTTTTTGTATTTTTTTTTCCTCTCCCCCCAGTCTCACTGTCATTGTTTAATCATGTTGATTAGCAGCACACGCTAAAGAAAAACAGGAGTGGTCTGATTCTTATTGTATTTTTTTTTCCCCACACAGATCAGTTATAATTGAAAGAATCTGAGCCAAAGTCAAACTGTCACCATCATTTCGAAACTTTAATAACTGCGCAGGCATTGTTTTAAGTCATACTTACCTGTTTCTACAATAAATGTCTGTATCATGCTATATAAATAAAGCGGCATTGTCTTGTATCTTTTGCGTGAGTGACCGAGCCGACATGAGATGGTGGCGCAGGTCCTCGCTGTGTCAAATTCATGAGGTTTCCTCAATGATGAAGTTCACTTGTCAATGTACACTGCATTCCTTTGTTCTTTTATTATGAGCAATATTGTCACAGGAAGCTTGCACAGAGACATCAAGTAGAACTTTCCCACAACGCGCCTCAATTTACAAATTCATATTTGTCATTGTTTTTCTCTTCTCTACCGTCACCGGTGCTCCGCTGTTGTGACATGTGTGATGCACAAGTTGCCTTCAAAACAGTTGTGGGTCTGGAATTATTGAACAGGAAACTGTTCAACCTAGAGGGCATGAAGGTTTGATGGTAGTTACCCAATGAACAAACTGAAATTCCGTTTGATTGCTTTTTCCTGTATTTCATCTACTTCAAAAGCTAATGTAATATGTCTGTGGATGGTGTGGGCTATGACTGATCTAACATTTTCCATTGTTCTTGTCCAATGTTTTTAAATGGTTGTGTAACCTCTCCTTATTTCTCGTCACTTTTCCTGTTCTCCCAGATGCAGTGCAATCTGCTTCTGTGCAGCTGGAGCTGCAAGATGTGCTGATGAGAACAGGGCTGAAGGACAGAAGTCACCTTCTACTGGGGCCGTTTTCTTGCAGCGGCTCGCTGGAGGCTAGGTGGTGTCGACACAGTGGTAGTCCTGGACCTGAGCCCGGTCCCCCTAAACTGCTGCTGGACCTGAAAGGAGGCCTGCTGCAGGTCGAAATACCGTCTATACGTCATAGTTGCAGTAGATTCGTAAGAGGTCAAGCACCTCAGCAACATTTGGGGCTAAGTCCTGTTCTTGTTAGATTGTGATTGTCATTCCATTTTAGATGGAGTGCTTTTTTTTTTCCAAGCATAATATACAAAACAAACTATTGTGATTGTTTACGCTGTTCTTCCTCTTGAATTCGGTGTAAACGGGTGTAATTATAGTACGAGAGGAGGCATTGAATCCTAAAAATCAGTCGTGACCAGTGAGCGTGCGTGCGTGCATGCGTGCGTGCGTGCGTGCGTGCGTGCGCGCGCGTGCGTGCATGTGTTTGTGTGTGACTTAAGGATTCATCTGCCAGTTAAGTAGTGGAACATTATTAGGTTATTTCTAGGCTGGGTTATATTTTATATGTGGCTTCTTTTTTTTTTCTCTCTCTAAGTTACATAATGTCCCATCTGAAAAAAAATCCCCTCTTCAATGTGACGAACTGATTGCATTATTACTAATGTATTGTTCCACATCACTTCTTCAGAGTGACCCTGCTCTCTATCTTTTTTCAGTGGTTGCCCTTAATACATAATAGCATGTTTCCCTTTGAAAATATTGGTGTTTGTGGTGTTTTAATCAAGTGCTGTACAAAAACCACTGGAATTCCTTCCGATTTCTTCATCTTATTTTCTCTCTCCAAATGGCTGAAAAGAAACTCCCCAAATTTTCCTGTTTTCAGAGTTTAGTCATAAACCCGTATGCACGCATTAGGTGGTAGCAGGCAGGCACACAGCACCATGTGTGAAAAGCTTTTGACTCAGAGATTCCTGTTCCTTTGTCCAAACCCCACCAGACTCACTTTGATGGAGTGTGGGAAGGGGGTCACCATCTAGGTTGTGTTGGGTAGTTCTTGATGATATACTGTCAAGTTTTGACTCGTGATTGTTTCTCATCTTGTTTTGGAGGAAAATGGTGAAAAATGACCAACTGCATATATACTGTAGTTCCCTCCATAATTATTGACACTCCCGGTTAAGATGTATTCTTTAGCTTTTGATAAATTCAGTTTGGGTTTTTTTTTCCTAAATAATGTAGACTTAACGATTGAGAATCAAAAAAAGAGGAAATTCCAACCACTTCAAGTGCATTTATTCAGTGGGGGAAAAAAATTCCACATTAGGAAATTGTTATTTTTCCATCAAATCCCCGTGTGGCACAATTATTAGCACCCTTGACGTTAGTACTTTGTACAGTCCCTTTTTGCGAACAAAGCAGCACCTGATTGTCTCCTAATGTTCCACAAGATGGGAGAATACAGAAAGAGGGATCTTCGACCATTCCTCTTCACGCAATCTCTCACTCAGCAACCTGGGCTCTTTCTTCTGCACTCTCCTCTTCAATTGATTCCACAGCTTTTTAATGGGGACATTTCTACAATTTTCAGAATAAGAGTAGGCTCCTGCAATTAAAAAATGAATTAATTTTAAGGCTTTTAACACATCATACCCAGTGGTGTCGATAATTATGGGGGGCGTTGTGTGTAACACCTCTGAGTCACCTGTGCAGATAACTACTGTGCATGCTGACATGCAGTGCATTCAGAAATTATTCACAGAGCTTCACTTTTTTCACATTGTATGTTACAGCCTCAATTCAAACTATTTTTGCTTTCAATATTCTCCACACAACGCCCAAAATGACCTTTTCTGCAAGTTAATTTAATAAATAAATAACTATGGCGGTCTAGTGGTTAGCACGTCAACCTCACAGTGTAAAGGTTGTGGGTTCGATCCCGGCTCCGGCCTCCCTGTGTGGAGTTTGCATGTTCTTCCCGGGCCTGTGTGGGTTTTTTCCGGGTCCTCCGGTTTCCTCCCACATTTGAAAAACATGCATAGCAGGCTGATTGAACACTCGAAATTGTCCTTAGGTGTGAGTGTGAGCGCGGATGGTTGTTCGTCTCTGGGTGCCCTGCGATTGGCTGGCAACTGGTTTGGGGTGTCCCCCGCCTACTGCCCAAAGACAGCTGGGATAGGCTCCAGTACCTCCCGCGACCCTTGTGAGGATAAAGTGGATCGGAAAATGGATGGATGGATAAATAACTAATTAGCATATGAGAACGAATGCACCACATGGAGTACATAAGTATGCTCAATACTGGCCGCAATTACAGCCTTTCTGAACAGGACGCCACAAGCTTGGAACACCAAATACTTTAAAGTTGGGCACTTTCGCCCATTTCCTTGCAGCAGCTCTTTAGCGGCATCAGGTTGGACGGGGCGCATCAGTGAACAACCTTTTTGAAATGTCTTCAGAGACGTTGAATCAATGTCAAGTCTAGAGTCTAGCTGGGCCACTCAAGCACATTCACAGAGTTGTCCTCAAACCACTCCTTTGCTATCTTGGCTCTGTGCTCAAACTTGTGTCCTGCTGAAAGATGAACTACCGCCCCAGTCTGAGGTCAAGTGCGCTCTGGAGCAGGTTTTCCATCCGGGATGTCTGTGTGTATTACTGCAGTAGTTTTCCCTCTTTTCTCACTAGTCTCCCACTTCCTGCTTCTGAAAAATCCACACAATTCTTCTCTATGTTTCACTAAAGGGATGATATTGGCCAGGTGATGAGTGGTGCCTGGTTTCCTCTAAATATAAGACCTGCCTTTCACGCCTGACTGTTTTGTGTGTTTATACATCTCATCAGTCTCGAGAGTTATGCCTCTCATGGTCTGAGACTCCTTCCAGGTGGCTTTGGGCAAACTCCTGGCCAGCTGCCTTTTGCGAAGCAGTGGCTTCTATCTGGCCACTCTGCCATGTAGGCCTGATGAGTGTATTGCTGCAGAAGTGATTCTCCTTTTGGGAGGTTCTCCTCTTTCCATACAGGAACGCTGGAGCTCCGTGGCAAAGGTTCTTCTACCCCGGTCATTCAGTTTACACTGGTAACCAGCTGTAGTGAGTGTCTTGGTGGTTCTGAACTCTTTCCATGTATGGATAATGGAGGCCACTGTGTCCATTGGGGTTTTCAGAGCATCATATATCTTATTTTTCTGTATCCGTCCCCTGATCTGTGGCTCAAGACAATCCTGTCTTGGAGGTCTACGGTCACTTCCAGTGACTCCATGCTTGTTTTGTGCTCTGGCATGCACCAAGTATAGAAAGATGTGTGTCACTGCAGACTCAAATTAAGATGTAGACAGGTCTCAGGGAAGATCAGTGGAAAGTGGATCCACCTGAGGTAAATTCATGACAAAAAACGAGCATACCATTGTTCAGTACATGTGATTTTTTTAACAGGATTTTATTTGTAATACATTTGACAAAATCTCAACTTTTTGGGCACATTGTCATTATGGGGTGTTGTGTGTTGAATTTTGAAGTGGAAACACGCAGATTTTTTTCACCGGAGCAAAATATGGAACACTGATTTATGAAGTGCATACTTTTTTGTTTCACTCACTGTACTCCCAAACCGTTTTTTCCATGAATTAATCATCGAGCTCTGTTAGTTCGGTAAATCCTTCTGTTTTCTCCACTCATTTGAAGTCCCGCTGCTGTACTTTTGCTTGACAGGTTTTCTGGGGACAGGAACATCTTAACTGCCTGAGGCTGGTGGAGGAACACCTCCAAGCATATCACTCTGCACAGAAAGGGGACTCGCTGGAAAACTTCCCTAGAGGCCAGACCTTCCAGACCCAGCCACCGTCCTCTCCAGGTTCCCCCTGTTCTCGCTCAGAACACAGCTCTGATGACCTGCGAACAGGACACTTTCAGTACATCCAGGACTCAGGTATGAATGGTACTTGTAAGAGGAAAGCCGGATGACACTTTGTATTCCTACTGATCTGAGCGCTGTGTCCACCCGAGATTTCCTGTCTGTTCGGAACATAAAATAAGTTACAGTTTAACGTTGGACTAAGTTGAACTGATTTTTCTATCATCATGTAGTCAGTGTGGTTGAACTAGTTAACAAACTGTCTTTCTAAGCCTTGAGAGTGTATGGAGCAGATCAATCAAAGTCCTCTATGGACAGGAGTTTAATCAGACTTATCTGGCTGGTTGTACTTTCAGTAACATGCTGTGTATTCACTTCCTTGGTGCTTTGCGTGTTCTGCTCTTGACATGCACACAAAGGAACATGATACAAAGAGGATCAAACTTCTCCTTTGCTCGAGACAAGTCATCCACTTTGTCAACTGTGGTTGACTCTTTGTTTTTGTTTTTTTCCCCCCCACTGTTTTACTCTTGCATCTTTGAAGAATGTATATTCCTAGAACAAGGACGCGGGGAACAATCTGTTTGCAACATGTTGTCAACTGGCAGAGGAAAGCAGTCCCCGAAGTACAGAGAAGTGCAAGCACCCCCCAAGGGCTGACAAAAGGATGGAAGGGACTCAGAGAGAAGTGAAAGATATAGGGAGAAAAAAAAAAGGGTCTCTGCTAATGCGACTGAAAGCAAAACCATGAAAGTGTCTGTTTTTGCTTTTGTTTCATCCTCTGTTTGCAGCGGAGTTATATGCCGGCCTCTTAAGATGAAAGAAACATTTGCCCACAGACAGATTTTGCTACTCCCTAAAATATGTTCTCTACAAAGAGTATCAGTTTTGTACCCCCAGGAGACACACTTTTTGTTCCCCCCCAAATAAACATTTTTCCAAAGGACTTGGATCCGAAACAGCAGCCACAATTTTATTCAAACACCACTCAAATGTTTTGATCCATGTCATCCGGCTTTTTCAGGTGCTTGCCATGGTGCAGTCAATGACTGTTTACTCTACAGAAAAAAAAGTTTACTCAACCCCGCTGTTTATATTGCTTCTTGTTCGCATAAACATTCTGAAAGCATGGAAACATTGATGTTTTTGTTTTGGGTTCCATAGAAACACCTATAAATGCATCACCCCGAAGTTTTACAATCTCTGGTCAAAGTCCAGATCAGATTTTCATTCAGAATGTATACATGAGATCTGACAAGGACTGACTAAAAACAAAAGGAATTACTTTTCTCACAGAAAATGAGGAAAAAAAGAGAAACAAAAGAAGGTTGCGCCTTTTTTTTAATACTCTTCGTCTCACACAAATGTTTCAGATTATCAAGCCATTTTTAATACAGTAGCTGTATGTCACACGAAGTAAATACGAAATCAAATTCGATATAACTTACCCATATTAGACATTTGGGGTACAGCCCAGTCCGATTGCTTCGTAGTGGTTTGTGTGGCTTTAGTTCAAGAAAAATGGTTGGCTATTTGTTTTGACTTACACGAAGATCACATTGTATGTCCAATGATCCGGGTAATTCCAAGAGTTCAGATACCGTTTTGTGCAACTGTGTGTCTGCGCGCCTGCATTGTGTACCTCATGTTACTACTCTTTTACTTTTTGGCAGGTTCCCAAAGATGGCCAGGACCACATGAGGTTGTGTTCTACGGTGAAACAGAAGATAGCGGCGGACTAATGCTGTGGAGGTATCCTGAACCTCGTGTCCTCACCTTCATCAGGATAACTCCAGTTCCTTTCAACACCACAGAGGACCCGGAAATCAGTATGGCTGACCTAGGGGATGCCTTACAGGTAAAAATGGGAAAAAAAGTTATTACGTCCATGAACTTACAAAACCTGTATGATTTAGAGCAAGTAGAATAGATGCTTGAGTTTAGAGATAATCAACCATGGGAGTGTTTCACTTCAACAGAAGCCATTGGTCAGATTGGCGCCCCTTTACATCATCTCGTCTGACTACTCTCTTGCGTAGAGTATTTAGCTCCACTGCACTCAACCAAACCGTGACACCAGTCATGATTCATAACAGTATACTTTTACAGTTTGTGTTTACTGGATTTTCCGTGGTGTCTTGTTTTTTGGAACTACTCTTCAACATATATTACTCAAATTGTTGCGTGACATTACCGACTGAAAGCTGCAGAGCTTTCCTACGTGGGACGACAGTGTCTGGAAAAGGGTGGTTGACTATGTTAATGTGAGTGTGCTGACCCGACAGTTGAGTTTGTCTGCTCCTGACAGAATTGGCCTCATCGGAGCATCTGTAGTTGGGCATGCCAAGGTGGCTTGTAATATTCGGACGTACACCTCAGTCTTATAACATCTTGCCCAAGCACAGACATCCAGTATGTCACATTATCTACGATGACACATCGAGAAAATGCCAAGAGTGACGATATGATATGCAATCCTACAGGATATATTTATTATTCTCGGAGTTACGCTGCCCTAACAAAGGCGGTAGGGGCCTACAGAGCAGAGATAATCCGCAAAGTTCCTTCACTGCTCCTTGCTCAACATCATTCACAGTGAACTACACTACAAATAACTTCACCAAACTGGGCTGTGTGCCAATAGGATTCTCATGATTTGAGTCTGGAGGGACCCACACCTTACATGTTATTGAATGACATGGAGCCCTGCTGTCCCTCCAAACATGTAATGGACGGTGAGACAGCTGTAAAAGTCATTTTACATGTCCTGGTGTGAAAAGCCAGGTGTCTTCAAACCCTGATGAGGTTATGTTTTTGGCAGGCTCTTGCAGCTACTGAGTCAACTGAGGTTCGGTGAGGGATGAGACATCCAGTCTTTTCCTCTATCTTTAGTTTTATGCATTTCATTGCACACCCTCCCTTGCCAGCATTATTTGAATGGCATGTCCCACTTTCTTGAATGTTTCTCCTTATGTTCTCCTTTTGTCTGATGGAGCCATATATGCTACTTTTTACAAAACAATTTTACTCCATCTCATATTTTATGTAGCGCTGGCTACAACAAACACAATGCTGGGGTCAGGGTTTGCTTCCTGATTTTTTTCTACCGAACACCCTAAACTGTGCCCACGCCTACTGCCCGAACACAGCTGGGGTAGGCGCCAGTACACCCGTGACCATCGTGAGGATAAGCAGATCAGATGATGGATCCATGAAAGGATTGCACAGCGCCAATTACATTCAAATGAATGCGACCGAGCCCTGCCTTTTAATATATTCCGATTTTTATGTCTTTATTCTTACCTATGTCCTCTTTCTGTAGCAACCTGCATTGTCCTTGATGGTCACTCCATCTTTTAATGAATTTCAAAAAGTTACGTACAACATATTATATGAGGATCCTCAGAACGAGATGCAGGCTTGCACAATTCAGATCGCAAGGAGTCCATATGCTAAATTGGCGATCCTGCTGGAGTATGACTATGAAATTAATAATTTAAGAATTAAGTGTAATTAAAAAAAAATCTAAAAAGTTGTTGAAGTAAAATAAGAAGAGTGCTTCAAGTAACATTTAGGTGTTACTTTATTTTTTTTTATCTGAACACTGGTGTCACCCACCTCACCTTGAAGAGATCTGATGTGACGTTATATCATACCGCTCTGCTATACCATAAATGCGTGAATAAATAAAGAAACATAAAACTGACTACTGAGATTACTGCAGCAATCAAAATTGAATGTCAACAAGTCCAGACAAGCAACCGCTGCCCATTCTCAAACTCTTGGCGGCCATCAAAAGTTTCCAAATGCTGAGCTTAGCGCAATGAAGCGAGATGCTAATGCTAATCCTCTGCCAGCGGTGACAGTCGTTTCCATCGAAGGCAAAGCCAATGCATGTGAATAGAAAATCAGCCCCATTAGGCTGACTTTTTTGTCAACGCTTATCAATACAGAGGAATACACATCCTTGATTATTTTTGGTTTTGTTCTGTTTTGTGACACCGAAGAACAAAACACAGCAACGCTGCTTAAGACGTTAGTCCTTCTTATATATGTGTGTTTATGTTATCAGTAGTTGAATGTGTGTCATATTCAAACGCTAACATTTGTCACTGTTTTTCTTTTCCTTTACAAACGGTGACTTTTAAGTTGTGCGTGAAATAGTGACAACCGGGTCAATTCCTTGCTTTCATTCGCAATGCTTATCGCATTGCTGATTAAAAGTAATGGAATAAAAAGGCAGTAATATGTTGTGTACTTATGCTGTTTTTCTTGTTCCATGAAATAAAAATGGAAAAGAAATATATCGGGCTAGTTCGTCACCCCCAGACCAGAATAATTAGATAAATAGGGTGATTGATCAACCATGAAAGGCTTTGATCACATTCACTGATCACGTACTTTTTCATGAATATTGACCGATCATTATCGCCCATCGATCAACCGGAGCATCCCTATAATTGACCTTACATGCATGCTTCTTTCACTTCTGTTGCCTCCATTAGAGGTTCACATGGTATTACTGTGATGTGTTGTTCAGTGTTTTTTTTTTATGCAAGTTAGTTTGGCGCTCCTTGCATTCTTGCACATTTTCGAGGACTGCATCCCACGTGTGAGATCATGTGTAGGATCCGTCACCTCTGTTGGTTGTCCTCGGGGCCCAGTTTCTGATCTCTGGCGTCTTTAATGCAGCTGTGCTATTTTGTTACTTTCAGCATGGATGACTTTGGCGTTGTCCCAGTCCATAATGTGTTTTTCTCTCTTGCAGTGGTCGTTAATGGCCAATTTCAAGTTTGTCTGCTCTGCTTTTTCTTTCATTTCACATGTGTGCCTCCCTGTTGTTTCCTTTCCACATTCCATTTCCACATTGCAGTGTTGTTGTTTTTTCATGTGTTGAATGCCCTGCCTGTGTCCCCATTCTATGTCATATTGCATGACTTGCAGGGTATTTTTGTGTATGACTTCATTCTTTCTCTCAATCTTGTCCTTGGGTTTACCAGTATGTGTCTGAGTCTTTTGTTTGGCTTTACTGTGTGAGTGTTCGCATCATGTTTCCTCAAGGCCGGTTGTACCCTTTCGTTGAACCCCTCCCCTGCCGGATAATGCTATGGAATTATCTGTTACTTTTTTTATGCTTGACTTTTATGTTGTCATCTTAGACCATCCTGATGACTTGTTTTGTGAGTGTTTGGGCTGGTCCTTTTTCAATTATTCCCTGTATGTTGTCCACTCAACTCCTCCAAAGTCTGATGTTCCAAAGTGCGAGTGCTGTTTTTATGGCACTTAAGTTCCAGATCTTCCATGAATGACCTGCTCATGATGGCTGAGAGTGTGTCCACTTTGGCCTTCCTTTTGCCTGTGTATGATGTTATTGTTTAAGTGCAAAACAGTATTAATAAAGCTGAGTTGAGTTATTGTGCAATACCGTAAGTATGCTGATGTAGGTTATGAACGCGGGCTCTAATGCTTGTGAGGATCACGTGGTTGTATGTTTGCTTGCTTATTTATCATTTTCCATGAAAGCTGGAAGTCTGCGGGGACTGTTTTCAGTATTTTCTGTGCGTCTGTCTTTCAACAATTCCTCCATCTATTATTTTGTGTTGCATTCATGATGATTAGGGCATCTTTTGTCTGCTTGACGTATGGTAACTTTGGTTTTTTTTTTTTTTTTTTTTGCCAACTTGTAATGTCGTTCAGTGACTGTTGGTAGAGTTGTGACACAACTATATATTTTGGATATCATAAATACAACATAAAATGTATGATATATATTGTATATATATATGACGGTTATATTTTATTTTTTTAAGGTTATGGACAGTGTGTACATACGTTAAGTGCATCAACCCTATCTCTGGTCTTGGCAATGTTTTGGGACAGGTGACTGGAGTTCAATTTATGTCTCTGTGAATGTCGTCGTCCATTTTAAAGTGTGCTGTTCTTTACTCTTTGTCCACCTTGATATGTCTTGATTTTATGCCATGTACGTGTTCTTGAACCCAAACTATCCATGCTGATTTCATAATTCATTCAGCGTTTAGTTTATTCCCAAGAAGGCATGATGAACCTGCACCAAGGAGTTTTGTATGAATATATCTTAGACAACTATAATATTTGCTAAGACATTATCGTCAATGTAGTCTTGAGCAGAATTTTTACAGCAATTCAAAGACTTTTCTGGCTGCAACACTGGCAATTCATTAGGTAGTACTTTTTGAAGCCATTGAGCTATAATGACTTTGGATATACAGGTACAATATGTTTGAGGCCCAAACATAATAGAGGTAGTTGTGCTGGAGAACTCAGAAGTAGCCGTACCTGTTCAATATTAATATCCAAAGCATCGCGCCAGTTAAATTTTCCAATAATTTGACCCACAGAACAAAGCTTCCATCATTGGTTGGTACTGGTCAAATAAGTCAATGACATGCCTCGACACTCCAGAAGAAGTGTCCTTTGTCCATATGGTATGCTGCAAATGTGATTGATGAGGTTGGGCCAGCACCTTTCTGTCTTTCCTAGACAACAACTGAAAGACAAAATTTCCTTGGCCTAAATGAAGTATCTGGCTAACTTGACACTTGTTTCATCAGGTTTCAGTTTATGGCAGATTTTGTTGATTCCTGGCTTGTTACTTATACACAAAAACAATGTTTGGGCTGATGATGCTGGCTTGTGCAAGACATTCCTGATTGATGGAAATCAAAGGTTTTCCTTCATAGACCGGTTCTGACCTAATGGTGCTCGGTGTGATCATCAGAGGCCTTGGCGATGTTTAGTGAAAACATCTTGGAATGTTCCGCATAATCTTGAGTTAGTGCACTTTTAATTTGGCAAAAAGTTCATTTAAACTTGCGT